TAATTTAGTGTAAGCCGGATGAAAATCTTAAACCTGGTGGTATTGCATTATTGCACCGCCTCCTTAATTCTGATAACATGAGGCAACCATTTAAGCAGGCCACAATTCCGTCCGGTATGGAGTCGAGTTCATGAATGGTTTCATTAGATCTCACTTCGGAGGTTAGACAACACAACTGAAGGAATTGTTGTTTGCAGCAGTCCATTTTTGTCCGTTTATGTACCACAGATCCGACTCTGCGCCGCCAAATGTTTACGTAACTTGACAATTACTTACATTAATTACTGTGTGATTGCTGAGTTTAGTGAAATTGCTACCTATTAGCTACGTACAGGAGTGAAATTTTTGGATTTGTTTTCATTTTGTTAATAAAAAAGTTTTATACGTTTAATTTACTCTGTTGAATAGGTTATTACCCCATGGTTGTAAATAGTGTCACGTTTGCCCCTGTTTTAATGGTCGTCTTAGATGGAATCGACTGTTTGACAAGTCGCCGCCTTCTTCGCTTGTAAGCTTGTCAAAAAATGTGCAATGGCGATGTTTTCGGCTGCTAAGTAAGCACAGTTTATTCAGATTTTCCGACCGTTTCCATAATCCGCTAATCGGAAATTTCCGTCGATGGTTTTTTTGTTCCACCGATCTTTGACCAACCGTATTTATTTGCTGATGTCTCCGGTTGATTGTTCTATTTGCGTTAGGTGTTGTAGCTTGATGTAATGTTATGTCTTCTGTACCTTCGGCAAGAAGTCAGCATTGATGGATGCAAATTTTTAGGTTATGGTTTAAAGTGTTATGTTTTGTTCTTGTGCATTCTGATGTTGCTTCGTTTTACATTTTGTGGGGTTTAATTAAGCCTCAGGCGTTCCTGTAGGATGGCTACAAACTTGTGAGTTGTTATCCCATGGCGTGAATGGGACTTCTCTCGCATCTCAAGTTTTCAACTTATTACTTTTCGAATATATGAAGCTGTTTACATGACACAACAAGTCGGCTCATTGTTCCGTAGAAGTGTACTCATTGTTAAAATCACACCTGCAAAACTACGCTGATACTTTGACGCTTTTTTCTTCACTCCTAGGTTGATATTTTGAAATCGTAGGCATATTGGTTGAATATAATTGTAGCTGTCAGATGCTTCTCTAGAAATCTGAAATTCTCGTAATCCTGAAACGGGTTTCAGTTGATCCATGAATTGATTTGAGGTTCTTCTGCTCTTATCCCCTTTAGAGCCTTGCGTAGGTGATATTTTACCGTATGAGTCCCGCCAAAGCGGCAGTTGTACATTGACTTTATACTGGACGACGTCCAGGCAGTCATCGTTCGTTCTACAAGGAAACTGCTAAATTATTCGTTTCATCCTCATGTTATTGCTTTCCTTGATAATTTTCTCAAGCGAACGGAGTTTGTATCATGGCAGAGATATACAGACTGTTGATGGTAGCACACCCCACTTGTATTACGAAATTCGGATCGCTTCCGGAATGATCTCTCGGCAGATATAGCGTTTATATAGACCAAAAGCTGACACTGTTTCTTTGTTAACCTCTTGTAATAGTCTTTTTTGTAGAACTTATTGTTTTAATTTGTTTTAAATGTTTGTTATGTCATATTTCGTTCTTGTGGGTTTTGGATTTTTGGGTGTGCAGGATGGCTATATTTGATATGTCGATGTCTAGGAAAGATATTCGGTGTGCAGCTTCGGTGGTGGTTTCGTGGATGTGCTGGATGCGTCGTTCAAAGTATGCCATTCTGAGCACTCATTGATGACGTATGTATAATTAAGTGCGCCACAGTTGCATTGCGACGATCTTTTCGTCCTTGAGTTGTAAATTATGGCAGTGTCGCATCGTCTGTCAGTTGCCAGTTTGGTTCATTATCTTCCACTGTTTTCTGGGTAAATTGAATCGAGGCTGTTTTTATGTTTTGTTTTGTTAAATTGGAGTTGAGGTGCTTGCGTGGACTGTAGCTCGCTTATTCATTTTCCTATATCTCATCGAGGGATGTCACTTGTACTCATTAGCTGACTGGGGACACTGTTGCTCTAAAGCTTAAGTCGATTGTAGTGTTGTTGTAGTTGGCTGCTGATGCGACTTTTGATTTTATGGTTATCAGGGCAGAAAAGAATAAAAATCAAAACAGTGATTCGACGTTTCGAATGAATGAGTCACTGAACGAATGATTGATTAATGAAGTGAATGAATGAACGTATGAGTAAATTTCCTGGTGATGACTAATACCAGTTCGATGGAGGCGTTGGGTTAAATTTTTTCTTCTTTTCCTACTTGTTGAAATGAAATCGGAAAACGTAATTTAATTCAGTGATTGTAGGAGCAAAGAAAGTTGAACGTTGGTGATATCGAACGTACTTATAAATATTTATTTAGTCATGAACAATATCAGTTTTATCCGCATCCCTTGATGTTCGCTATAACATTTGGATTGTTTTTCTCCTTATAACTACTAATTTAGAAGAGTCTACTTAAGTATGTGTGATTTAAAGTTTTGGCATCGACTTGTTTGGCATAATTTCATGTTATGCAGCGCTTGTAATATGTAAATGAAGGTTACGTGTTAAATACATGAGCGATCCAGTTTGTTGTAGGCGAATGAACTTGCTGAAGTCGGAACAGCGTTGCGGGTGGTTAAGAAATCTGCTTTGTCGTATCAGTCTTCCGGAGTAAACAGTGCCTTGCATTTAGGGCAATTCGAGATTTCCGAGAGCGATGCGCAAACATCGATAGTTAGACACTGTAACCGATTGAACTGTAGGTTTTGGAATGCATACACTTAAGAGGTCTATCTTGATAGGTAGAAATGTGATGATACGTTTTAAGCCAATTAGATTTGGTTTACACCGGTACAAGGTAAGGAATTAATGTATTTAGCTCTTTCAAACATTTCTGGTGGTACTTCTCTCCTGAGCCGCTTCATACGCGGTTTGAATCTTTTGCCTTTGAAAACGCAGTGTGCGTTGTTTTATTCGTGGAGTACATTTTTAACGTAGCTCGTTAGGTTGCACTGAACTGGCAGTCAATAGACCGTAGGTTCGGTTTCATCGGCCGGTCATTCGCCCTTCACTGTTCCGAGGGAAAGGATATTACACGCTATTCTTAGCATTTAGATGCACATATTACATTTGTAAATAAAGTACTTTTGGTCGATGTCCATAGGTTTTATGATAGGCG